CCCATAGCTTTCTTTTTGTTCTTTTTCTTCCTCCTTTCCTGTAACTCCTATTTTTCTTCTTTTTTTCTTTATTCTTTCTTTTTCCTTTATTCTTCTTCTTCTTCCTTTTTTTCTCTCTCTCTCTCCTCTTTCTCTCTCTACCCAACCATGATTTTTCTCTGTCTTCTTCTCATTCTTCTTCTCTTCCCTTTTTTTTTCTTTCTTTCTTTCTTCTTCTTCTTTCTTTTTCTTTTCTTTTTCCTCTTCTTCCCGCGACGTCTCCCTTTCTGCCGTGTCTCACCTCCTCGACTGCCGCTTAATCCTCCTCTTCACGTGGCCAAGGCTCCTCCCCTCACTTCTCTCTTTCGGCCGTAATCCTCACTCAGCTCAGCCTCCTCTCTCACCCACTCGAACTCAGCTCTCTTCCTCTATTTTTTTTCTTTTTTTTTCTGCTCTTTCATTACACATATATATACATATATACATATTTTCTGGTTGGTTTATTCTCTTTCTCTCTATATTCTTCTTTTTTTATTTTATTTTTCTTAATTTATAATTAATTGTATATATATATATATTATTATATTTTTTTCTTTTATACCCAGCTAGGCACCAGCTGGGTATTATAAATCTTTTTTCCTTAAAATAATTTGGTCCTCCAAATTGAACATCACGGAATTGAAATCACTCATTTTCCTACTTGGGAAAATATTTTTTGTTAATAAGGAATTTTTCTCTCATTAAGAACATGTTTATCTTTATTGGGGAATCTCTTTCACTTAGAGAAATTTCTCTTGGGTTGGAATCTCCTCTCCTCCTAAGAAATTTGATCTTTTAAATTTTTATTTGCGAGAACATGAAATACCCATCCATGTATTCTATTGACACTTTCATCAATAGATTAGAGTGGTTATGACAAATTCTTTAACGAAATCGTTTTATCTTCTTATGTTTTCTTTTTTAATTTCTTACTAGTAAAGGTCTGTAGGTTTAAGGGTATTTTTATACACAATTATCTTTATACTCTTCCTCATTGTAAGAGAGCTTATTTTTTTTAAAAAAATTTATTGTTGTAATGATTCTATTATCAGAACACTTCTTTAGGGGCTTTGTTTCTTTTCTCTTCAAAATAATTTTATAAGCACGGTCATTTAGGAACTTAGGTTCCAATCAAGTGGTGATGGTGGTTCATTACGCTTCCATTGCACTTCTTTGATGAGAAACATATTGAAAATTTTTCGAATAGTTGAATGGGAGGACAACTCCTACCCTCACCTATGAATTTTTTTTTTCTAAGAGTACTAGAACTATTAGAAATGAGAATTCTAATTAGATGTTATTTGATTTTAATTCCTAGAATGACAGTTTATTTCTTAAGGATCTGGTTATTTATTTTTCTAGGATTTAGAACCACTACTGGAGTCTCTAAACGAAGTTGAAAATGAATTTTGAAACAGTGAGGGTATTTGTTTTCCTAGAGGGATATAGCGAGAAATTTTAGAAAAATTTAAATCGTCATTTGGCTCATATCAGGCTTAGAATTTGTTAGATGGAGTATATCTATTTGCGAGTTTCTCTCATTTTGATAATTTCTTCATATTAAAAAATTTTCTCACTCGAGGAATTTTTTTTCCACCCAAGGAATTTCTCTTATTTAAGGAATGCTGCTCTCATTTGGGAAACCTCTCTGCTAGGATTTTTTTCTTTTATTGAATCCAAAATTTGTTTGGAGGTATCTTTGCGTAAAATGGTCTCCAAGATCGAACGATCAATAGCCTAGAATAAGTAATTCTTTGCTTTGAGGTCCTTCAACTTCAATCCCTCAATTTCTATTTTCTAC